CAGAACATCAGGGGGAGAGGACAGTGGCTCAGGACAGGGCCACCGGGAATCAGAGGGCTCCCCTCGCCAGGGACAAACTATAAACCCCAAGGGACACCCTCGGGGACCCACCTCCTGCAGCCACACCCTCCAGACCCATCTCCCCAGGCCACGCCCTTCCCCCTTCCGGCCACGCCCAGGGCCCCCTCTTCCAGCCATGCCCAGCCCCCACCTCCCTCCCACCCCTGGAGGCCCACCTCCCCGGCCACGCCCCGTTGATCCCTAGGGGGCTGAATTCATGCTGAGGGGGAGGCTCTCACAACCCATCCACTGCACCCAGAACTGTCCGGCACCCTCTTGCGCACACGGACTTCTACCAGCCGGCTCTATCCCCTGCTGATGACCCAGCAAGTCACTTCCTTTCCCCTCCTAGGGACAAGCCTCCGTTCACACTCCTAACCACATCAGCGCTTCAGGAGATGGGCTTTCCGACCTAATCTCCAGGTGCATCGCATCCTGGAAGATTCTCTCCACRTCCCTGACCAAAAGCACAACCTGCCCAGCTGATGAGACCCAAAGCCTGCAGTGCACAAACCTGGGTCTTCAGCCCTCCATAAGGTCTTGGGGACAACCCAGAACATGCGGGAGGGGGGAGGAAGTGTGACCACTCGGGGGCGCCTCCCCACGTGCTCTGGAGCCCTCACTGGAACTTCCTAAGGAGGGTGGGCGCTGCTTTCTTCTGAAGATAAACCCCCCCCCACTTCCACCCAGGGGGGTTGCATGCTTGGGGAATATTTATAGCCCCGGCCCCCCGACGCCTCCTCTGCTTCTTCGCAAATGAAGCACTTAAATCATTTTGCAATAATGTTGTCTTTTTAATAAGCCTAGTCAAACGCGCTTCCACGAGGRGACAACATGTGTCGGCAAGGCCTCTGTGTGAGCCTCCCCTGCTGGGCAGGCGCTCAGAGCCCTGGGTGGCCGCAGGGGTCTTCCTGATGCAGGCCCTGAAGGGGGGTCTGAGCCCCGGCTGTCAGCAGGGGTTCCCTTCTAGGAATCTAGGAGCACACGGAAGGGAAGGGGGCAGCTTCTCCCTGGGCTCTACCTGGCGCTTCTAACGTGAGGCCACACACAAGCAGCTTCCCCTCACCTGAGAACATGCCAGAAATAGATTCTCAAGTCCCACCCCCATTTACAGAGTCAGAGGGGCTAAGGGTGGGGTCTAGAAACCTCTGCTACATCCTACAGAGGACTCTGAGGTTCAGTCAAGGACACGGTCAGCTGCTCTGAAGGACCAGGACCCCTTTCCCTGCATTCGGATCCCCCAGGACTTGTTCAAGCAGCAATGAAGGATCCTGGCGTCCTCCTCTGGGGTCTTCTAGAACAAACCATCCAGAGAGGAGACTGCAGAGGCCACAGGGTTCATGGCCCCTTGGGTGGATGCCTGCTCTTAAAGGTGGAGGAGCAACCCCCAGAGACCAGCAGTAACTTTCTTAGGGAGATGGCTGTGGCTCTCAGCAGGGACAGGCGGGGAGATGAGAACCCTCTCTTCCAATAAAGCCCTACCCGGCCCAATAGATCACATTTCTGCAAATCTCACTGTCATTGATTCTAAGATATGTCAGACGCACTGATGGTAAAGATGCAACCCGATTTCAGAAACGTAACAGGACGGGAAAACAGTGTGCACTTGAGAGTTGGTAGAATCAAGAGTGAGACGCTCTGGCAATTAAACCTGTTTTGGGGAGTCCTGGAGACCTCTGACCTCAATATCAGTCCTGAAGAAACTCCAGGGTTTAGAAAACACAACTTAATACTACGGTAGCCCAACAGGAGGGCCACAGAGTGGAAGGAAATGTCTACAGCACACACCACATAACAATAGAACTYATATACAGGATATATAAAGAGTTGCTGCAAAACAATAAGGAAAAAAATAGAGAGTGGGCAAAAGACTTGGAAGGCCACTTTGCCAGAGGATAACCAAAGAGCTCAAAGCATGCAGAAAAGCTCACATTAAAATGGCAGTGTGGTACAACTGCTCACCTGTGAAAATTGCTAAATGAAACAACAGACAACACCAAGTGCTGACAAGAATGTGGAGCAACTGGAACTCTTACTCATTGCTTTAGCAAACTCTTGGGCAGCATCTATTAAAACTGAACCTACAAATGCCTTACCCCCAGCAATTCCATTTCTAGGTATCTTCCTAACAGAAGTGTACCACACATGCACCAAAACACATGTGCAACAGTGGTTATACTAGGTGTATTTATAAAAGTTCAGTATTTAAAATGAATAACTAAATAAGCAACTGTAAAAAAAATCTGGAAACAACCAAATGTCTACTTGGAGTAGAATGTAGAATGGATAAACAGTGGTGTGTTCACACAATTGGAAACTTATACAGCAATGAGAATGACTGGCCCAGAACAACCCACAAATTTGTGGGTGAATGTCACAAACACAAGGTCAAATGAACAGAGCAGACACAAGCCAGTGCACACATTTTTGTGCAGATAAGAGTGAGAATAAACTGGAGAAAGTTACTGTKATCTTAATCCGTAGGTGGTTTTGTATTTTCCAATCTAGGCAGAACATGTCTATGGAACATCTAGTTTGCCTCTTGGCTCTTGCTGCTAGGAAGCTCAGTGTTRGACTGCCAGCCCACATTTAGTGGATCCTTCCAACCATTCTGTGTCTATTATCTGCCAAGTGGGGGGCTCCATTGGATGGACAAGAGGCATCCTGGCCTTTGGGGTCTCCCCATGTAGCTGGGACACTAACATGGGGAAGCAATGGTCTGAATGGAAACCAGGTAGTGGTCCAGAGCAGGGCCATAATCCGCCATGAGAATCCCGCTAAGGCTTCCCCAGGGCCAGCTCACACAGAGGTCACAGTGTGAGCAGGGAAACGGAGGCGGATGGCAGGTTCTAAGGTCTCTTTCCCTGGCTTTGTATATTCTTCAACTCCTATGACCCTTGGGTATTTTTTGGCTTTGAAAGTTCACCTGACTTCTTAAAGCCCCACACATCTTTTTGCAACCATCTGTGGCACCAAGGTGCAGAGAACTGGGCAGAGCCATCTGCAGTCACCAACACACAACTGCTCAGTGCAGGTCTCAGACCCCGGGCTTCCTCCGCTCCTTCTCCAAGTGTCCCCACATCCCAAACTTCACGCCACAACTCCAGATCCACCGCATGCTGTCCACGAGGGAGTTCTGTTGGCTTTACCATAAACCAGTTCCAGGGGCCACTGTCCCTCATCCACACCGAGCCATCGTATCACTAATAATAACAGGGACTCATGGGGGGTCAGAGACCTAGTTTGCACTAAGCTATAAATCCTATCCCGGGATGCCCCAGGACCTTGAGTCGCCATTTCCATTCTGTCTGCACACCTGAGCATAAATGGCACGTGGAATCGTGCCGCTCTGTAATGGAATATCCCCTTCCAGGGCGCCTTCCTGTTATACAAGCCTGTCATTCGCCCTCCCRTTACGGTCACCTCTCTTGCTTCATCTCCATAGCAATTCAGGATCTGATGGTAACTGACTTGTGTTCTGTCTCCGTCTGTTAACCTGGAGCTTGTGAGGAYGGAGACTTAACCTTGTCCCTAGCTGCATCCTAGGTGTCCCATCAAGTTGGGCATAGTGGCACATGCCTGTCATACCAGCGGCTCTGGAGGCTGAGGCAGGAGGATTGAGAGTTCAAAGCCAGCCTCAGCAACTTAGCAAGGTCCTAAGCAACTCAGCGAGACCCTGTCTCTAAATAAAATACTACAAGAGCTGGGGATGTGGTTCAGGGGTTGAGCACCCTGGGCTTAAACCCCTGTACTGTAAAAAAAAAAAAAAAGAAAGAAAAAGATCCACCTAGTAACTATTTAGCTTTTGCAGACCACATGGCTTCCAGGTGCAGCCACTCAGCCTGATCCTGGTTGCAGGAAGGTGGCCTTATCCTACACATCAATGAACGGGCTCCAATAAAACCATCTGCAAAGAGCAGGAGATGAACTGGCTTAGAGCGGGGGCCATATCCTGCACTCTCTCCACGCACTCTCCCCTTGGGGGGCTCRGTTTCTAAGGTAAGTAACTGTGTCCCCGCAGTCCCCTATGAACAGGCTCCCACCCGGGCACCCCCACTCCTTCCACTGCACATGCTCCTGCTGCGAACTCCCTGGTGTTTCGCAGACACATGGTGACATTCCCTAGCACGGATCCTTAGAGTGGGATGGCGGGGCGTCGGCCACGGACAGCCTCGGCTCCTGCAGACGATGCCAGGTTGGTAAAGAGCAGCGAGACAGGGTGCCGCTCCCCTGGGAAGTGCAGAGTCCCCGCTGCTGTGCACTTTGGGGGACATTTGGTGACATGGGATGTCTTGGTCTTGCCAGTCTGAAGTGTGACCTGGCACCTAGTGCGTGTTCGTCTGCATTTCCTGCTTGCTAGTTAGGTTGAGCATCTTGAGTTTATTGGCCACTTTATCGGCCCGTGACGTCTGGAACACACCAACTCTTGAAATGAGAGCCTCCCCCCAACCATCAGGAGATGCTTCTTCATATTTTTGACCCATTTTTTTTTTTTGTTGGAAACTTAGTGTTCCAGATGATCTGAGGAAGTTCTTTCCTATTGTGGGTTTTCTTTGACAGGTTTATGAGCTGCCAATTTGGACTCCGAATACATATCGTGTCTTCCCTGTAGGCTTTGATCAATGGCAGTTTGTGACTTTAATGTAGTCAGAGTGCCATTTTCCCCTGCGATTTGTGCTTTTGTGTCATTTTAAGAAATTCTTCCTTTGGAGCAGAGGATGTGGGCGTGAATCTCAGTGTCACATGAGTTCTACCTGATTTCCTGGGGCCTCAGTTTCCTTCTCTGCAAAATGGGCATAACAATGGCCGGTGCCTCCCGTGTCATTCCCAGGGTGTGTGCAGCAAGTCTGAGAGCATGAGGCAGACAGCCACTCGTCCCCTCTGCTGACCTGGCACCCATGGAGCCCCGTACAGGGACCTGTGAGGAGGGAGGGAGGTACCTGGCTCTCCAGGCGGTCTGTGTTCTGCCGGAGCTCAGTCCTGGACTTTATTGACTTTTCCAGCTTCTGTCTCAGCATTGTGAGCTCCTCCTGCAAAAACACACACCTTGCCAGAAACCAGTCCAGGCCAGAGACTCACACCTGACTCGTGTTCACAGGAGTCCAAGGGCCCAAGGTCTCAGTTAGTCCAGGGGGATGGGACCCAGCCGTCTCCTGCACAGAATGGTGCTCTAGGAAACAACAAGGTTCCCCATGCTTCAAAACTGCTAAAAGAGTAGGTTTTGAATGTTCTCCCCACTTCCAGATGTCCACATCTGTGCTCGTGTGAGTCTGGCCCACAGCATCCCAGTCTGGGGACCATGTGCCAATCCCTAGGAGGGGACCATGGCTCAGCCTGAGATGGGACACGCGAGCTGAGGACGTGTGCTCAGCCGTYCGCCTCCCAGTGCCTCCGCCCCAGCCCGGGATGCCGCCATGGGGAGCAGCTCATGGGCTCCCAGCAGGCGAGGGGACGTGAACTACCCCCACACAGGGAACCGGGCAGCCGTAAAGAGGGAAGAGGACAAGGAAGGACTCAGAATATATTTTTAAGTGTCCAATGCAAGGAGCCGGGGAGCACGTAGGCTGAGCGTCCTTCTCTGAGACCCGTGGGGCCAGAGAGCCTGGGGTCCGAGGTTCTCGGGTCTGGGCGTCCTCGCGGGGATTGTACCAGGTGAGGATTGGGGAGTGCGGATGCTCAACGGTCCCTTTTACTTAAGAAAGAAGGAACCTCGTCTACACGGATTTGCTGATGTCTGCACAGAGAAGCGACAGGGGACATAAACCAGAAGCCATTCGGAGCCGTGGCTGGTGACACAGKGGAAGGGACAGGGAGGAGGGTGTTTTCTGAAAAGTAGGAAAATAAAGAACCCCACGGCGTGGCCGCCGGGTGTGTCTGGGAGGACAGTGGGCGTCCCTGGGTCCCAGCGGGTGTGAGGGTTAGTCAGCATCCCCCGCCAGAGGAGCAGGGTGCAGCTGGAGGATGGTCTGGTCCATGGAGGCAACAGAAGRGGACATTAGGGGCAGCTGGGCGGAGTGTCCCCAGGGAAGAGTGCTCAGGGCTGAGCCCCCGGGTTTAGGTGCCAGTCGGGGGCAGGAGGAAGCAGCTGCCCTTCGGCTGCCCACGTGGACTCACCTCTTTGGCTCGRAGCTGCTCGGTCCCAATGGTGGCACTCAGGAGTGGCCGGAGGGCACCAAACAGCTGCCACCACGGCCAGTCCTTGACGGCCAGGAACGCGGCCACGTTCTTCTGGATGCACTGGGCAGCCAGGTGGCGAATCTGCACGGGGTGGAGAGGACAGGACGTGAGGAGGTCCCTCCCTGCACAGTTGAGAGGAGAGGAGGAGGAGGGTGGCCCTGGCAACGGAGGCCGTGGGCCCAATCCGAATCTCGTTTCCAAATCCTCCCAAGGCACCCGACAGTGGAAGTGCTGTGGGCCAGCGGGGGTGTCCACAGTATCTCAGTTGCTGATGTTTTCACCCTTCCTGTCTTTGCCATGTGCATACAGTTGAATTCACAAGTTCATAGAAACTGGAGGTGCGTGTCATGGGACCCTGCATTCTGGTAGTAGCATTCATAATAACCACGCCAAGGTCACAGCTGCTACGTGCCGCCCTCCTTACTAAGTGCCTTAATAAGTGTGTCCCTTTCCCAGTTACTAAGAGTCAGAGGTGGGATTTGAACGCAGGCCTTGTTTGTCCTCAAAGTTCAGCCGGTTGTCTCCTCTCCATTGTGCAGGTGGTAAGGGGAAATCCAGGCTCCAGAGAGCTCTGGAGATGGCGACCCAGGATGGCTCAGGACTGTGGCATCCTCAACCCTGGGTCCCCACGACCTCTGGCTGGTACCTGCCTATCCTGTCTGCTCACCCTGGACAGTGATCTGCTCCAGACAGGGGACAGCTGAAATTGTGAATAGGCTCAGGAGGGCCTGGCCGAGCTCATGGACACCTAATCAAGGCTATCACTTAGAACATGTCCCAGGGACAATCACAGCGTCCTGCAGAACATCCCTGGCAAARCGTCATCGCACTGCTTGGTGGCCCTTGGACCAGCAGCAGCATCAGCGCCGTCCAGGGAGGTRGGTGCCCTTCCTGCCCATCCCAGACCTGGGGTCAGCCCTGCAAGGTACCTTCAGCTTCTTGAAYTCCTGGCGCGACAGGAAGCCCTTGCAGGCGGCCTGGAAGAGGACGATGCTCTGGGACGCCAGCTTCTCCCGCTGCCTCTCCAGCCTGGAGACCACCCCTGCCTTGAGGAAGACCTGGCAGAGAGAGAGGCTGCGGTGACTCCCGGACTCAGTCCCGGTGATTGGGCTGAGAGGTGCTGGGAACTCAGACCCCAGCTCTCCTACTTCCTGCCCCAGTATTTGCTGGTAGCATCCATTTTGTCTCCCCATGGCTCCACTTTCCCCTCTCCTAGCCCCCAGATCCGCAGTGTGGCCCAGGCCCCAGCAGCCTGGGCAGGGCTTGCAAGCTTGTGAGAAGTGCAGAATCCCTGCTGGGTGCAGTGGCACACGCCTGTCATCCCAGTGACTCAGGAGGCTGAGGCAGGAGGATCCCAAGGTCAAAGCCACTCTTAACCAAAGCGAGGCCCTAAGCAGCTCAGTGAGACCCTGTCTCTAAATAAAATACAAAATAGGGCTGGGACGTGGCTCCGTGGTCGAGTGCCCCTGAGTTGAATCCCAGCTATTCCCCCCATCCCCCCCAAAAATAGAAGTGCCGAATCTCTGACCCTGCTAGTCTGAGTCTGCACCCTGACCCAGGGGTTACATGCATCTTAGTTTGGGAACCACTGTGGGACAGATGTGCTTCATCTTCTCCGTGCACCAGGCTCACCCAGGGCCTCACCAGGTAAGAATCAGTCAGTGGATCTGGAGTCACCCTGGGGATATGCCTTTCTATAGGTGCCACTGGCTGGTGACCTGAGAGAAGCCATGCCCCAGAAGGACTTCAACCCAGCCTTGCRGAGGGGCAGAGCTGAGGGGAGGTGGAGGCTCAGGCTTCCAGTGGAAACAGCTCAGCGCTTGCCCACGGGCCCCTCATCAGTGATGGACGGTGGCCTCCACAGCACCTGGATCCATGGCTTCTCCGCTCCCCCCAGAGCTGCCCTCTGATGGGCAGCAGGGAGCAGCCCAGAAACGCAGGCTCCCTGTYGGCCAGAGGTGCAGGCCCAGAGGGCTGGGGGCCAGGCTGAAGGTTCTTCTGAGAAAACCTGAAACTCTGGGGACAGACCTACTCAAGACAGCACGGCAGGAGAGTCGGGGCGCCCGGTTCCTCAGCTCCCCACAGGCAAAAGAAAGATGCCGTGGACCTGGGGTGTGGGTCAGCGGCAGGGGACAAGTGCCTCTTCAGATGAACTATGCTGTTTATCTCTAAGAACAGTCGAGTAGGTTCCTTGGTCAGATGAGGCGTGAAATCCTCAAAGTACCCATTTCTCRGGAGGCTCTGGAAAGCCCTGTCTTGACTGGTGACTTCGTCAATTAGTGCCTGACATTCATGCAGCAGAATGGGGGAGGGGACTTCACATGCCTGATCCCCTGCACCTTAGCTACAGGGATTCTGCAATGTCACAGAGGGGAACCAAGGCTCAGGGCACCCCCCACGATCCTCCACCAGTGAGGGGAAATGCCAGGGTTTATACCCTTCCCTTACTCCAGATCAGGCCACCGTTGTCACTGAATGTGACTGACTCCTGCATGGCTTCTGCATTAACAAAGCCCCTCAGCCCTCCCCACAGCCCCAGGAGGAAGGGGTCTTGTAACAGACTCGAGTCCACCCAGGAGGTGAGGGAACGAGCTAAAACTCGAACCCGGGACCTCAGGTGCATCCCTCACACCCACTCCTCATGTCGACCTCGAGCTTCGTTTCCTCGCCTGTGAGGATACAGACATCTGCAATGTGAAGTTCGACTGCAGTTCGATTCCACGGGGAACCAAGAGCCTCAGTCGATTCTCCATTACCCCAAACCTATTTCCAGTGAAGGAGATGGCTCTGCCCATCACTGAAAGACACTTCTCAACGGAGAGATGAAAATCGGTCCACGCCACCGGCGAGAACCCCTTGTGGCAACTGCTGGTTTGCTTTGCGGGAAAGATGCCTGCTGCCAGCCAGGGCCACGGGAGATGAGTCTCACTGAAATAAAGACCTGAGTGGCTCATGGCCCGTCAGACGGCCTTAATGATGACCCTATGATTTCACAAGTGGGTGAGTCCCACAAGCTGCTATTAAAAAAAAATCAATGATGGAAATGATGACAACATGAGCTTGTGTCTCTCCATAGGTGACAGGGGCCGCGGGGACCACTATTGATTAAGTATGATGCTTTCATTACAGAGATAATTGGAAACGACCACACACAGAATGGGAATCGGTCATCATCACAGCAGAATCTTATCGTATTATTTCTTTGGGGTTTGCTCCTTTTAGAGGTCGACCGAGAATGGAATCATGCCTCTCTCAGAAGACACCATGGCCCAGGCACAACCCTGGAGAAGGCTGAGAGGTCACAAAGAAGACTCTGAACTATCCACATTTCACGAGTCCAGCTGCCGATGAGGCCCGAGCAGAGCCCACACCCGACACCCCAGTCTGTAAGGAACCCGTGGGGGTGGCAGCTGCCATGACGGTTTTTTTCTCTGAAAATGCTGAAAGTCGAGATTTTCAGAAAAATCTTGATATGGTGATTGCCCCCATTTCTGGTTCACAGAGGAATGAGCTCCTCTCTGCTTAGTCCTTACAGAGATGAGAGGAGTTTGATTCTTTAAGCGTTAGAATGTCGCCCTGTGCAATCCTCGCCTCCTTCTGTAATCAATGACAGCTGACTTGTTAAGTGACCACCTACTGGTTCCCCCACGTGGGATGCAGAAAGTTGTGGCCCCATTTTACAGGTGAGGTCCTTGGGGGCTCAGAGAGGTTTAGTCACTCACTCAAGATTCACAGTTAGGAAGTGGTGGAGCCTGGGTATGGGCCGGGTCTGGCCCCAAAAGTTTTTTTTTCATGGGGCTTCAGGGACTTCCCAGCTACGAAGGACCAGCCCACAAAGTATAAAATACTGCACCTGCTCTAAGGGCTCAGTCTATTGTCCAGATACATTGACCTTGAGTTGCTCTTGGCAGTTTCTTAGTGAACACCAATAGGATTGTTCAAYAGTAATAACATTTTATTATGGGGACATTTAGGTTTATAGACTTCTGGCTTCTGCCACTGCAAAAAAAAAAAAAAAAAAGTGTGTAATGACTTTTATTTCCCTCCATGCTCTGCGGGAGCTTCTGGGATCGTGGGAACTGATTTCTGTCTTCATGAAATAGCTGACTAATTATCCAGTCCAGTGGTTCTCAGGCTGGAGCATGCCTTAGGATCACCTCGGGGCCTTGGTGCTGCAGACTGCTGGGGCCCACTGCAGTCTCCGAATCACTAGGTCTGGGGTGGAGGCTGAGGGCTGGCATTTTGACCACCTTCTCAGGTGGTGCTGATGTGGCCRGTCCTTGGACCACACTTTGAGAACCGCTGGTCTGCAAGAATGAAGGTCATGGGACTGAATCACTACCCCTTGACTCAGGAGCAGAGCAAAGGGGTGGAATCTCTTCATCAATAAACTACATACAGGACCCTGGCCATTCGCCCGGGCATTTGAGAAGGGCCTGGAATTTGGACTGAGCAGGGTCTTCTCCCTATTTGTCCTTGGAAAACTGATTATTTCCAAAAGATAGAGGCTACTTGTGTGTAAAACAGGCCTGAGYTGTTGTCACCCGAGAGACTGGGAGGGACCAAGGTCAGAGCGTGAAGTTTCCTGGTAGACCACCTGGCTCAGGGACYGGGGAGATTATTCTATGGGAAATAGTTGCAAAGACCCAGATGCTGCGACTCCCAGCAGGAGACCTCAGGCTGGGACCAAAGTGGACCAACAGCATGGACCATAGTGGACAAGTAGCTTGGACCATGCCCCTCAGCAGGCCCCAGGGCCAGTGGGAGATCCCTGTGTGCTTAGGACAAGCTGAGGAGCAGCCAGCCATCAGTGTGAGTGACAGGGAGCTCTCCAAGGAAAGCGTCACTTTCAGGGATGGTGCTGGAGCAGGCTACAAGGTCAGAGATGGCCCAGGGTGGGCTTGTGCTATGAGGGCCCTTCCCCAGCAGCTCCCCTAGCACCCAGGGCTGGGATCCACCAAAACAGCTCAGAGGAGGCTGTTAATCCGTCGGTAGGTAACTAGCCGGGGAGATGGATGCAGTCAATTTCCCTTACGTCTGTGCCCCCTCCAGCCTGTATTTCTAAAAGTGATCCCTTCCCCTGCCACCACCTGGTCCTCGAGTTTGAAATCTGTGTGTCTCTCTTCCCAAACGACAGCCCATGGAACRGGGTTCCAGAAGCCAGGAAACCGAATACGCCACAGGAGCAGAAGGCTGAGGCAGTTTCCACGGTCAGAGAGTTTGGAAACCCGTAAAAGGATGTTTCCCGCCTTGAAAATGTGCGCTACGCCGCGTGCTGGGGAGGAATCACGTGCCTCTCACACACTKGCGCACCCTGGGTCAGCTTTGGGTTTGCATCTGTTTGGGAAAAGCTCCCTCAACTTGAAACCCACAGGCTCCTCCTGGAGCCCCTGCTCACTGCCTCCCTGAGCTAGGGCAGCAGTGGGGCCACAGAGGGTGGCAAAGTACGAGTTAAAAGGTTCTGAGTGACCAGAGCGCTCCTTTGCAGATTTTATAGCAGTTGTTTTTTTTTTTTTTTTTTTTCCCCTGAGACTCAGAAGGTCATGTGAGGGCCAGAATGCTAACTCTTCCAGACCACTGAGGTCCCTGGACTTGTGACCTCTAACAAATGACATTTCCCAACGCAGTTTCTGCCCTCATTGTGACATTGTTTCTTCACGGCCCTGGGAGAGGGGCAGGGCAGAAAATGACTTGCCCGTTTTTAGTTTGGGAAAAAAGGGAGACCCAGAGAGATCATGCGGTCAGGGGTCACGGAGGTCAGACGGCCGTGGGGTTCATCCCATGGGATGGGCGGAGGCCATCAGAAAGACGCTTCACTTACTTGGCTGTGTCCCAGGGCCACTGCCGTCTTCTCCAGATCCAAGGTCATCAGGAGCTGCTCCACAGCCTGGGGACAAGAGGAGAGAAGTCAGGGAGGAGGGAGGAGGCAGAGGACCCTGCTGGGAGGTGAGGCTCCGGTGGCAGACACCCCCGAGGGGAGGGGAGCCCACCATCTATGGGTTTTGGTCTTCAGAGCCCTGGGCCACATAGGCGAGAGCAGAAAGCAACATGTACTGAGCACCTACTGTATACCAGCCACTCCACTAAAAACTTCAATGACACCCAATTTGCTTCATCCTCATGACAGCCTTGGGTGGGCTGCCCTAGGACCACGCCCAGTTTACAGAAGAGAAAAACAAGGCACCAGATGAAATGAAGAGTGTGGACAACAGCACAGCAGCTCTYGAGAAATTCAACCTAGGATTTCCCTGTGGTCTAGCTATCCCACTTCCATACATATACCCAAGAGAATGGAAAACGGAGCCCCCAAGAGGTACCTTTACTCCAATGTTCATAGCAGTATTATTCACAAGAGCTATAAGGTAAAAACCACCCAAGTGTCCATGAGAGACAAATGAATAAACAAGACGCTCATAAACAAGATACGGTATATCCATGTGATGGAATATTATTCAGTCATTAAAAAAGAAAGAAATTCTGACACATGCTACCCCAGGGATGAGCTTTGAGGCCATTATGCACAGTGAAGGAAGCCAGTCACAAAGGGACAAATACTGTATGGTTCCACTTATACAAGGCCCCGACTTTAGGCATATTCATAGAGACAGAAAGTAGACTGRTGGTTGCCAGGCGCTGGGGGAACRGAGAATGAGTTAGCATTGAAAGGGTCAGAGTTTCGGTTTTTGCATGAGGGAGCTATGGACCCAGATGGTAGTGCTTTTTGCATCATGTTATAAATTTACTTCATGTCACCAGACACATGACAGACGTCACACTATGTTATAAATGCCACCCTATGGCATTTTATTGTGTGTACACATGCACACACAATTTTCTTAAGACCCTAGATGAACCATTTCTCTAGGGCCACAAGGTGACCCAGGGCAGAGCCGGGTTCCAGTGAGGTCTGTCTGGCTCATCGCAACATCTCTGCTTGGAATGGCTCCCTGGGTTTCAGATGGCTCCAGAGGATCTGAGGGCACCAGGAAACCCACCCCCTGTGTCACCAAGTCCCCCCCAACAGCCTCCCCAGCTCTCCGTGCATCCTTCACTGAGCACGTCAGCTACTGCCTCACTCACCGTGACCTTGCCCGCCCGACCTAGATCATGGCAAGGAGAATCTGTGCCTAATTCACCTCGCATTCTCTCCTCTGCACTCCAGTGCCGTTCTGTATAAACAGTAGGCGCTCAATTCACAGGATGAACAAGTAAGAGAAATCAGGAGGAAAGGAGAGCCAGTGCCATGTGGAAGAATTCACTCGAAGACGTTTCTGGAGGCGGCACAGAACCGGCCACCAGCGAGTTCATGGAACGGCCCTCCTTTCAGAGGGTCCTGCAGGTTTGAAACCAGCCCAAGGGAGATCTGCTCCCTTCCACGGATGCAGGTCGTGCCCGCCTCCTCGGTGGCTGCATTCCCCCCACTCCACCCTCGAGCCACCCTGCAATGGTCTGCCGTTCATGGAAAACCACAGTCTATTTTCAGAATAAAAGGTCCAAAAAAAAAAAACAGTGATTGTAACACTCAGGAGGGGAAAGGGTGGGCGAGGCTGGGGCCGCGAAGTAGATGAGCTTCGACTCCGTGGGTGAGCAMGGCTCGGAAAGGCCCCTAAGGTAGACAGACCCCCAAGTTGCTTATTGAGATTCCCAGATCACAATGAGGGCGGCAGCCTCGTCTCCACCCTGAAAGAACACTGCATGACGCTCCTCCAAAACTCAGTGGTTTTACTTATTACATTTGAGCCAAAAAAAAAAAAAAAAGATTTCCAGGGAGCCACAGAGAGCAGAAATGCATGACGACCTTTCTCTCTGCACAAGGAAAAAGTACACTGACATAGACTGAGAATAAAATGGGTGGGTAAGCGAGGGAGATCCGTGAGGGTGGGTGTCCCTAGTCTGTCTTGGCAGGCAAGTCCAGAGTCGATGTGAGAGGAAGAGATCAGGAGTCGGCCTACCCGGACTCAGGGCTTGGTTCGATCGTTCATAAACTGACCTCAGACACACACTTTCCTGGGAGGCTCAAACTTCTTTCAGGAAAGTGGGGAAAATAATGGCCACTGTCTGAGGAGATTCTGAGGCTGTGCCGTGGGAAGAGTCACATAGTGTCTGACGTACAGTAAGCTCTCAATGAAAGCTAGGAGTCACTCCAACCCAGAGCCTCATGCTTGGGCCAAATCCTGGTAGGGTTTCTGCAGAACATGGAAGTCTTTCACCTGTTGKATCAACCTAAACACCGCCAAAGAACACATTTAGCCTCCACAATGACCAGGACATCTTGTCCACCTCCTTGTTTTCCTAGATTCCTTTAGATGTGTTGGGCACCCCTATAATCCCAGTGGCAATGGAGGCTGAGGCAGGAGGATCRCAAGTTCAAAGCAGCCTCACAATTTAGTGAGACCTTAAGCAGCTCAGTGAGATCCTGTCTCTAAATAAAATATAATAAAATATTAAAAAGGGCTGGGGCAGGGCTGGGGTTGAGGCTCAGCATGTGTGAGACACTGGGTTCCATCCTTAGCACCACATTTARAAAAAATAAACAAAATAAAGGTACTGTGTCCATCTACAACTAAAAATATTTTTAAAGGGGTGGGGCTAGGGATGTGGCTCAATGGTTAAGTACCCCTGGGTTCAATCCCTGGTGCCAAAAAATAAATAAAAATAAAAAATTCCTATGGATGTCTGTGCAGCTGAGAACAAGAATATGCAGCCCTTTGACTGTGTTTTAAAGGTAAGAAGGCACAGGCATAATGGAGGTGGGGAGCAGGTGAACGCAGCTGTTCATGGTGCAGGTACCCCATTCCTCACCTGCACGGTGATCACGCACCTCTACCTGGGCCACAGGCACTGGGAGGATCAACTGAGAACATACGAGAAGGACTCTGTACATGACTTTGCAGTTAATTGCTCTTGTGAGCCTCGTTAATACGACAATTAGATAAACCTGATGAAGTTGCTCTGTTTAGGCCAAATATCAATTGTTTATTCAGCCTGACACAAGGCCATCACTGTCCAACAGACAGACAGCAGAAAAAGACATGGCAAGGACCCCGGAGACGAACAGAGGTGACTTTCTTCCTGCCTCTTGATGGAACCAGCACTTTCTTCCTGTTTTTGTTTTATTGTTTTAACTATTTTATTTTATTTTACTGGTCCTGGGGATTGAACTCAGGGGCCCTCTACCACTGAGCCCCACCACAGCCCGATTCTGTACTTTATTTAGAGACAGGGTCTCACTGAGCTGCTTAGGGCCTCACTGTGGCTGAGGCTGGCTTGGAACTCGTGATCCTCCTGCCTCAGCCTCCCCAGCCCCTGGGATGGCAGTTTTGTGCCACTGTGCTTGGCCAGAAACAGCACTTTCAAGGATCAGAACTGCCCACAGAGTTGAGGAGTCTCCTCTTGGTGTGCAGTGCTACTTTCATGAGAAAAACACTGGCCATTTTGCTCTACGAAAGCACAGTTTTCAGTCTGTTTCTAAGTCTGAGGACGGCTTCAAAAGCTTGCATTTAATAATCGAGTCTGTTTCCAGACCTCTGCAATAGACAGCCTTTCATCCCCATTTCACAGGGAGAGAAACTGAGGCCTGGTTCCATGGAATGACTTGGCAAAGGTCAGGACACAGGAAGTGATGGCAAGGGACCCAAACCGAGGACCCCCCCACACACTGCTGTCCTTGTCTGGTCCCGCCATTCACCAGCTGGGTGACCCTGCCAGTCACTCCCCTGCTCTTGTCCTAAGTGCCCTTCCTGGAACGAGGGGGTGACGCTTCTGTCCTACGAGAGCCCAGTGGGGACTTAACGAGGTCTTGAGAGCAGCGGGTGGGAGGGAGACTTCCAGCCACTCGCCTGCCCTCCTCCCCCCAAGGGCCAAGTTCAATACAGTGGAAATGGAGCTCAGAGATCTCACAGATTGAGAAGCATTTATTCAAGAAACGCCACTGGGCTCCAGGTGGGCACAGGGCGTGTGGGTGGCCATCGTGGTGGGCGCTGGTCCACTCTGCCGTCCCTCCGCCCCCCAGCTCTGTCTCTGAAGTGGCCCTGACACAGGACACCAACTGGAAAGCAGCAGCCTTCGTGCCAGAAGGGGCCCTGGAGGGTTCAGAGCCCAGAAAACCCCACTCGGGGCCGAGTTAGAAACTGTCATTATCTCAGCAGAAAATAAGTGGGTCGGCCCGAGTCATGACTCAGCCTGGGGTGGCCGCAGAGCACGGGCCAGCCAGAAGTCAGCCGGGAGACACGGGAAGGGGCGGCCGCAGCGGGCTGGACACACCCTTGCATTTGTGGCTCAAGGATAAAGAAGAACAAGAGACCCGGGGAAGGGCCCCAGCTACCTGGGTCTCCCCTCTTTGGGCAGGAGACAGGAGCACAGGCAGAGGCAAGGGCACAGCAGGACGTGGAAAGCTAGAACACAGTTGTCAACTGCCAGGACACTCCCCAGCCCACACAGAGGGCCATCGAAGAATGACAGACTGCACAGACGCAAGATGTCTCACAGGGAAAACTGTTGGCTATTGAGATATGCTGACACGGGGCGACTGCGGGGAAGCCCCGCTTTAAATTAAAAAATACACACACACACACACACACACACACACACACACAAACTGGCAAGAGATGCCAGTGGTCCCACACCAAGGGAAGGCAGACTCCTTAAGTCTATACAAGAAAAATTACTCAATATTTAAGAATACGTGAATCTACAATTACTATAGCGTGTCACCTAAGATGTCCATTTTCGCCTGATACAGTGGCACATGACTGTCGTCCCAGCAGCTCGGGAGGCTGAGGCAGGAGGATCCTGAGTGCAAAGCCAGCCTCAGCCACAGCGGTGCACTAAGCAACTCAGGGAGACCCTGTCTGTCAATAAAACACAAAATAGGGCTGGGGACGGGCT